CTCACACACACACACATACACACTCATTCCTCCCTACACACTTGCCTTTTTCTTCTCCATTGCCCCCTTCAGCCAGTACGGCTCCATCTTTAACTTGTCCCCTCCATTCCCCCTCCCGATCTTCCCCCCAGCAATCCGCTGTCTTTCTCCACGCCTCTCTCCTTCGTCGGGATCCTTTTCGAGCTCCTGCTCCTCCGACACTCGATGTGCCCCTTGCGGATCTAGTATGCCCTTTCCTCCCTTTCTCTGTCTGTCGCTCTTTCTCTTTTCATTTCTCTCTCCATCACCTGCCTGTCCACATTTACCCCATCCCCCCTCGTGATTCACGCAGCCCCTTCGCCACATTTACCCCGCTCCCTCCTTTCCTTACAACCTATTCCCCCCCTCCTCTGCGCTGACCCCCTCTTCCTGCCTCACAATCTCTTCTTCCGCATCTTGTCCGGATCGGATCCCCCCACACCCACGTGCATTCCTCACCCTCGGCTGCTGCCTTGGAGATCTTTCCCTGAAACTTCCTCGGTTCCTACATCCTCACCCTGATTGGCTGGTATCCCGACCTTCTCCTCCTCTCGATCCCACATCCTGATCGCCCCCCTCCCAATCAGCGCTGCCCATCCCCTTCTTTGCAAGTTGGGTCCCCTACCTACACCCTCCTCCCATTAACTTTAACTCCCTCCTCGACGCCTTCCCCCCCCCCCTCCACAGCCTGCTTAACGATTCAAGGCGAACTTACCTTGAATGCTTCACCCGATCCCGATTACCCTCCTGCTTCCTCTGTAGTCCCATCCCATCCTGACCGATCAACGGCCGACCCTCTCATCCTCCTGATCCCGCATCCTCACCTTCCCCCTTCGTCCTTCTCCTGCTACTCCGGCCCCTCAAGATTTCGATGGCCACCTTCACCTGACCGACCGACCAGGCACTTGACCTCCCCCTGGTGTTCATTCTCCCCCTGCCTCTCCGCATTCACGGCATCATCCCCGCCTACTCCATCCCATAGCGGCTGTGCACATATGCTGTCCCACTTGGAACACAACGCACTCCCACAAAACATGGAGTAGCAGCCCTAAACTAATGGAGGGAGGGAGGGGGGAAGGAGGGATGTAGGAAAAGAGAGAGAGAAGGGGAGAGAGAGAAGGGGAGAGAGAGAGAGAGAGAGAGGGTGCACTTCGCGCACGCTGGGCGAACCCACGGATTCCGTGTTTGGGCTGAGTGTGAACGTCCACCTCCTCACGCACAACACCGACTTTTCTTTTCAACAAGAAGAGATCAAAGATTTGGATGGATTTTTATATTTTATAAATTTATATACGCCGTCGAAGACAATCTTATGCCTCCTGCCTGGTGAGCTTCCAGAATGGTGGTTTATTCATGCATTTACAGCAAAACGTAAATTCAAATAAGAAAAAAAATTGAGGATATGAAGAAGAAAAAATTCCGCTGAGAGAAAGAGGGAGGCAAAGAGGGAGGAAAGGAGGGAGGAATGGCGGGAGGGAAGGCGGGAGGGAAGGCGGGAGAGAGGCAGSGRGGGRGGGARGGRGGGAGAAAGGGRGGGRGGGAGGAGAGAGCCAGSGRGGGRGGGRGGGRGGGRGGGTGGGTGCACTTCGCCACGCCCGCTTGGGAGAGTGGGTGCACTTCGCAACGCCCGGCATACTCACCTATTTCCTTCTTGGACCGCGTGTGAACAGAACTCTCCACATCTTCCGGGACAACACCATAGGGAGAGAGAGAGAGAGAGAGAGAGAGAGAGAGAGAGAAAATCCACTTCCGCGCTTCCGCACTTCAGCACACCCGTTCGCCCGCAGCTCGACTCCGCTCCACCTGCCTATTGATTTCCGGGCGGCGCCGACTAGAACGGAAATCTGGACAATGGTGCCCCGAGAAAACAAATGCGCGTCTGGAAAGCTAATGGACTGTCGAAATGCAGACCTGAGTTCAAATTGTCTGGCCCCTTTAGATTATCTATGCCACTAACGAAATGAAAACCTAAAACAAGAAAGCAAAAAAAAAACAAAAAAAACAAAAAAACAAAAAAAAAAACAGCTATTCGTATAGGGCCTCCCAGCGCCACTCACCAATGTGAAAAGGAAATAGGACAATTGTTGAAATGCCCCTAAAACTTTGGGTATCTCCTTAGATATCCCTGAAGCACAGGGGTATGCTGAAATGCCCCAAACTTCTGCATCTGCCCCCGTCCCGCTGATTGGCATCTTTGTCATATGCCCTGGCCTTGGGCTACAGGGACCATGCATTTCTTTTGCCATATGCAGGGTTCAACGGCCTAAAATACCGGGGCATATAGACAAGTTTCCCAGGGCTAGGTAGGAGTATATGCAAAAGATGACAGGTCCAATTCGTGAGTGGAGTATTTTGCAAGGTTTCACTACTTTCATAGGGGCACTCCGCCATTACTAAGTACAAGGGCACATTTTGGTTATAGTACACCTACTTCAGACTTTCAGCCATATCTGTGACGGGACGGGATCCTACTTTCGTGGAAAGAAGTTGGATCCCAAATTTTGCCTAAAAGTGCCCTACTGATAAGAAGTGGGATTTGCCCCTTAGTTTGCTTTTTTTTCTTTTCTTGGGCAGAGGGGACCGGGTGCTTTTCCTGAAGAAAGCACCAATGCCCTGCAGAGGGGACGGGGTCGTCCCCGCTGCGTCCTTCCCCCTCCCAATGATAATCTATTGGCTAAAGAAGATAGATGGCCCCACGACTAAGCTCCAGGTTTGTGAACGGGCGCTCTCGGGCGAGAAATGGGGCCTCTCTCCACTATTGTAGACTCGTCAAATTTTAAGAGTCCAACATGGCTCCACATGCAGGTTGTAGAGTTGTCGGAAAAACACTCTTGAAATCATCAAGAGTGGGTGTTGCTCCACCAACTCCTGCAAGTGGCTCTTGAAAACACCTTTCAAGAGTTGTCAAACAGGGTATTTGCTCATGTTTTTATAGTCGACACAGTGACGGCATCAACGATGGTAGCGGAGCCGATCTGAACTGAAAAGGATGAATGTCCTAGCACTACACTTTGGGACCAATTCCTCGACCATTAAGGCTGACAAGTACGAGTAAGGAAATTTGACCAGTCATCGCGCGTCAAGAGGGCTAGAGTTAGTAATGGTAACCTCCGGTCATGGAGGTTGAAGGGAAACTTTCATGAAATAAGTTGACAACGATGTTGCATTTTCATATGTTAGTATGTTGACGGGCCTAGAGGTCAATGACGTTTTAAATTAGTCAACCCCCCGCCTATGTAATTGAGGAAG